CCATCAGTGTTTGTCACTGATTTTGCAAACTGATCGCACTTCGGGCGCTTAGGCTGTCGCGCTGTCTACAAAAACTGTGATACCAGAAGATTTTATTTGTGCTATTGGTACTATATAAACGATTTCATATGAAAGTCTTTTCATACATATGAATTCAATCAATTTGCAACACGTTTAAAATCTCAGAACGTTAAACATATATTGCTTAACGTAATTTTTTTTTCCAAACATCAACTTAATTTATCCTGCTTTGATGCTTTTTACATCAACCAGAATTTGAAGCTACTATCAGCTGATATTAATGGCCTTATGTTAGCATTTTCAGTAAGTAAACTTTAATCAATGTTATATCTTTAATTTTTTGTCAACTACCTAACTAATACTCTAACTATGTGAGTATCACACAACCAAAATTCAAAAATACTTTAGTTGCATTTTAACGGCATTGATTAATTTCAAACTCAATACAAACATTAGATATAGATTTCATTTTGAATGAAAGTGACAACTGTGTAATTTGTAGCTGAATTTGAAATGATATTTTGTTGAGAGGCAATAAAAATTGTTAAAGTCTTTGAACCTTATATATTTGGAATAGGTTATATTGTATTTCTACTCTTGAAATATCATGAATATGTGATTAAATTATTACTTATTTCTATGAACTATTTTGTTTGTTCTAAATCACCAAGTAGAATGTAGGTATTGATTCATGGCTAGTTTTCTGTCACATACAATAAAATGTACTAGTAATCTAGCATTGAACATAGTTTTAAAAAATGATTCAATGTTCAGTGGAATGTGGTCTCGTTATCTTCGAAGAAAGTTTGATCTAGTGTGATTGTGAAGCAAACTTCATTATTTACAGACATTAACGGTATTAAGATCATTGTTTCAGTATAATTAAAAAGTAACAGAATGAAGTTAATGAGTCAAATTTGTGTCGTAGAAATACGAAGAAGAAATTATGAAGAATAAAATGGATGGTTTGCATGAAAAGAAAATGTTTTTCGAAGCATTCGGTAAAGTAAGTTATGCATATCAATACAGTTTTGTTAGTAAAAGCTTTTCCGCATGTTCATATGTTTATCATATGTTATGAACTTGAGTCATTAGTGAGCAGTTTTACATTCTATACTTGAGTAAAGCCTAACCACTGTACGAATGACAACACTGAACGTTAGACTCCAACCGTTCAGAAATAAGAAGACGGGAGACGTTGGAGAGCAATTATTAAGAGAATCAAAAATAGACAATAAAACATGCGTATTTATACAATTATGCTAATAATCGATATTGTCCTTAAAATATTGAAACAATAATCAAAATAGTTCATCACTCGACTGCTCGTGAAATATTTAAGCATTGATTCGATAAGTTAATCAATTAACTATGTGCGTGGGTAACTTCTTGATGGCTATCTCTAGACCAGTTCACGTACAATCTAAATATGTTTTGAAACAAGTTTTCTCGTGATATAAGAGAATTAGGTGATTAGGTTCAAGTATGTTTTGTGTGTGACACAGTATCTCATCTTAATGATAAGTTTTATTTTTTGGGAAAATTAATTTCTTATAAAACCATGCAATCTCGATTAGTGACATATAATAATATATCAGCCAATAATAGTCGAATCATATAACGATGATAACTGTGTTTGATTGATTAACACGTAGTCAAGATGTCAAATAAATGTTATCCTTGCTACGAAAAAACTGAATATGCAGTTGGTACGATGTAGAGATTGATTAGTTGTTGTAAATCAAATATTATATGATTTGATTCAATGGAGAAGTAGATAGTAGGTAAAATTATGATGTATCATTGTGTTTGTAACGAATTCATAATTGTTACGATCATCACTAGTGAGTGGTATTATTATTACGAACAGACTTATTGTTGATTATGAAACTTTTATTTTTGTAATTGGATTGTCTCGAAAACTAGTTCTTCGGAAGAAAAACAATTATAATTTCAACTACCTTGTCCCTTATTATTTGAATTAGAAAGAATTCAGTATTTTGATTAGAACTAGTTACAAGATGACAATTTGTGTATCAGATTGTGATGTAATAGTGAATGAGAAATCTTTATACAACTGTTAAATTACCACTCAATATTTGAAGTGAACATTACGTGAAAGCAAAAAACGCGTGCATATTTTAAATCAATATACTGATTTACTAGTTGAATGTGCACTTCTTTATTTATCAGAATGTAAAATTATCATTGATAATTGTTAATTTAAGACAAGAGGTGCCCGGATCAAATAAACTGATTGATTGATCTCAGCATGAATATACAAATGAATAGATTCATCAATCCTTTTCATTGGTTTTAATTTCAACTTCTTCATAAATATCACGTCAATACGTTAACATACATATAAACATCATGTGGAACTCAATCTAGACCATTTAGTTTGATTACATGTAATAAAGTTAAGTAGAACTTTATTGTATCTTCATTCTATTTGTCATCCACCGTAATAAGTAAAACAGTGTGGTTTGAAGCGGCTTCACGACTTTTGTTGCTTATCGGTCTGTTGACAAAAACGTATTCTCTATTGAATTTCAGTTAGTCGCTTTTCGTATGCATCTGTTGAATTTTTGTGATTCTCTCTAATTTCGTCTATTCTTTATAATTGAAGGTAATGTGTAATGAAGTCTCTCCTGAACTGATTGACTACAAGTTTCCTCAAAACTATAAATTCAGGTAATCTCTTTGTAAATATACATTAGCTGATACAAAATGCATTCATCTCATGGCTTGAAAATGTATTTACTATTCCCCGATTGTTAACTGTTATATTATTTACTCAACATTATCTTTAATTTGAATGAAAAACGGTGTAGTTTTAGTGTTGAGTGTCGAATAATGACGATAAAAAATGTTTTGTTCACAATAATGCATCATATTTTCACCAATTAACAATTTTCATTTTCAATTTTGATTTGCATTGTTTAAAGCGTAAATGAAATTCTGAAACATAATGAAGAATTCGCCAAAACATACGGATGTCCATTCGGTACAAAAATGAATCCTCGGAGGAAATGTATTCTTTGAGGAAAAAAAAGTTATTGTCGATGCGTATAAGTGATATTAATTGTTTTGCATGTGTCCATGTTATTTTGTTTTGATAAAAATTTAGTGTGATTCTCTATCTTCTTATATTATAAACATCTGTAAAGTAACTAGAGTTTAATATTTAAGTAGTACATTCGGATGGATTTATTCTAATACATTGGCTAACATTATGGCAAAATTATTGATCAACTTGAAGAACTCTACCTAAAAACAATTCTTTACAGTACAGCCTTAATATTTTACTGTACTAATAACAATAAGGTACTCAAGTACTTTCAACTGACAGAAGACAAAAAAGGAGATGGCATGACTAACTTCTGTATTCGTTGGTTGCATTAACTCTTAAACAAAACTCAATTAATACACAAGTATATAGTTTACGACGCACAATTAAAATACAATATGATGCTTGCGAACAATGAAGTATTTATGAAGAAATTCAGAACAGACTGCGCTTCGTTCAATCACCATAAAATTGGTATTGTACAAGATGTGATGACAGTGTGTTAATCAGATAGAAACTGTGAAGAATACAACACAGTGGTTCTCCATGGTAATTATGAATACTCAGATTATCGAAAATAGAAATAATAGCATGTTACAGGAGGCATGTCAATTAACAGGCAAGATCAAAATGGAAGTAATGTCGTATTGAAATACGGGTTAAGGGATACCTCATTCGTTTTTATGCGTCCTCTTATAATAAGGAAAATACACCAGTTGATGCGATTGTTACCCGCATCGACAGCGATTTTCCGAATAATCGTTCACCAACTTATTTTACATTATGGACAATTTAGCATACATCTTCAAGTGAACAAGTGTACAATTAGGATTGACGTAACAAGAAGAGCAGACCCTCTTGTGTGATGATACTTGAATTTGTGAAATTAAGGTTGGAGGAAAGCAAGTATCTGACTGGGAATTAGAAAAACTCAGAACAATAGCAATAACAAGTAATATATACATTCAGCATTGCGTCCAATGACTTTTAGACGGATTTACTCACGTGTATAGTCATTTAACCGGGTGATTGCAGAATGTCTTACAAGATAAATTATACCCTGCTGAACGACTTCATGAATGATCAAGTAATTAATCAGACTGTTACTTCGTCACTCGTATCAATGATAACTGTAGGGAACAAAACGATATCTTGTCTATATAATCTACAGATTAACAATATTTGTTGAAACTGACGCATCCCGGCATTTTAATCTGAATATCCATCGAAGCTTTAACACGGGCCTTATTGTAAAGTTATTGTAAGCTTCTTCTACTGAGACTGAGATTAACGAATGTGTACATTAGAAACTTTTCTGCAAAAGAAAGAAAAATTGTTAACTTTCTGAAGGAACACGTTCTATGACATCACTGGTGAACAGTGTTGTGAAATGTATTGATATATTGATTGACGGTCTAGGTTCCTTTCAACAAGGTCTTAGATCTCGAAATGATAATTTCACTTCAGACTAATTTTCGAGTCAGATGAAACGTACTCACGTATTTCATACTTCCAAACCACATTATACTGTGATTCGAATAGTTCAGGATACCTGCATTGTGTTTGATTTGCCAGCAATTTTAACAGTATCACATGTGTAGATTATGGTCACGGATGTGTTAGTATATAGGTGACCGGTGTTTCTTTTGAGATAATATTAAGTGATAGTTACTGGTGCTGTTAACATTCATTTAAACTCAGCCGTGCTTCGAAATAATAAAATCAAAGATTATGTAAGATGATATTATGGTACTTACTTACTTACTTACGCCTGTTACCCCCAATGAAGCATAGGCCGCCAACCAGTTTTCTCCAACCAACTCTGTCCTGGGCTTCCCTCTCCAGTTCTGTCCAATGTTTGTTCATTCTTCGCACGTCTTTCTCTACTTCTTATTTCCTTTTGTCTTGAGTATTCCATGTGAGGGCTTGTCTCGTGACGCAGTCAGGTGCTCTTCGTAGTGTGTGTCTTATCCACTTCAACCGCTTCTTTCTGATTTCATCCTTCACAGGAATCTGGTTTGTTCTCACCCACAGTACGTTGTTGCTGATGGTGTCTGGCCAACGAATACGAAGTATTTTGCGAAGACAACTGTTATTAAACACTTGTATCTTCTGGATGATGCCTTTCGTAGTTCTCTAAGTTTCCGCTCCATACAGTAGAACTGTCTTGACATTTGTATTGAAAATCCTGATTTTGGTTTTGGTTAAAAATGTTTGTAGTTCCAGATATTTTTCAACTGTAGAAATGCAGCCATTTCTTTTCCGATCCGTGCCCCCACATCTGCATCGGATCCACTTTGGTTGTCGACGATGCTGCTCAGATATGTCAAGGTGTCAACGTCCTCCAAGGCATCTCCATCAAGAGTGATTTGATCGGTGCATGTTGTGTTGCATCGGATAACTTTGCTATTTCCTTTATGTATGTTGAGACCTGCTGCTACACTGGTCGACTTCTCTTGCATTTGTTGTTGCGTGTGAGATAGAAGAGGTAGGTCATCCGTGAAGTCCATATCATCCATCTGCATCCTAGCTGTCCATTGGATACCGTGCTTCCCTACAGATGCTGATGTCTTCATAATCCAGTCGATCATCATTAAAAATAGAAAGGGTGAGAGTAATCAACCTTGCCTGACACCGGTCTTCACCACAAACGAGTCTGTTAGCTGTCCTTGGTGTATGATTTTGCAGTTGAATACATCATAACAATTCCGTATGATTTTCAACTATTTTCTTAAGCACACAGTAATGTGATACTACTCTAACATATGTTCCAACAGTTCATGTAAAACCTATTGACTTGCTATATATTTGAAAACTGACGTATTCTGGCATTGTTCGCTGAATATCCATTGAAAACCTAACAAACGCCCTCTTTCAACACTGGTGTGAGCTTGTCTGCTTGTGGTTATAGTCTATACAGACACGTACTAGAAGAAAATATCTGGTAATGTTCTGAACTTTTGTGTTTCCTGACGTCACTGATAATATTCATGCAAAATATGTTGACGTATCGATTTCAGATTACTGTTTACAGTCTTTAATGACTTGATAAATCGACGTGTGATGTATGGCACTCAGGTTTATGCAATTATGATGAAGGTGATAAACCATAGTTGTAGATGGATTTTCTACCACAGCAATTCACTCCGTTTCCAATTGGTGCACGTTGGTACTCGACGTCCAGGATCCAATACCAAAACACAATAATTCTGGGAAAAATCGGTCTCTATTCATTAGGAAATGGAAATACAGACAATTACCCAACTATTATTACACCTTTCAAGTTCAATTTACCCTGGTGGGTATCCGCTTCTGGAAGAATAAGTGCTTCCAGTCCAAATTGCTACGGTAGCAAATCTGAAATGGCTGTAGCCACATTGAATATCAAATTTAAACAACATATGTACAGTTCAGAAGCAAACATAAAAACTTCAATATAAGTACAAGATATAGAAATAATAACAATATACAATGATAAAATATCAAAATGGAATCAAATGCAGTACCGAAATGTCAACAGAAAGAGTCAGTCATATCATAACACAAATATATATACATGGATGGATTTTCCAAAAAACAAAACATTCAAAAAAGATTCTACAATAGTTTCATTTGGCTTCGGTAATCAAAAAGTCATTCTACAATTAATTGTCCCAGGCTTTTTTCACTGAGTTGACGCGTGAATTTCTGTTACGTCCAAGTCTTGCTTCTTGCCGTTATTGAAGTACAGTATGTCGATCCATTCGAAATTCACGAACCCCTATTAACAAGAGAACCCAACTCCAAAATAGGTACCAAAGTTTATTGCAATTCACTAATAATCGACCTAAATGTCGTTCGTCAATTTACAAATAGTCGACCAATGTCGTTCTAATAGCAATTATTATAATAACTTCATATACCTTCAATTTTAAAGGTTCCTGGAGCAAAAACACCAAATGACCAAACCAAGACAAACTGAAATCAAAAAGGTCGAAAATAATAAATCAAACAAGTTCGTAAGTGAAGTCAAACAAATATACCCAAAAAACACAGTGAAATTAATGTTCTTTATATAAAGGTTTTGACCAGTCAAATGTCTACACTTCTCCTCAACTTTTTCTTTCATTGTTTGCATTCCTACAAACTGGACTTACCCAAGTAGGTGAAATCTGTTTGTTTACTTTGAAATTTGCTTTTAGCTCTAATGAATTTGAAGTATTTGAATAAAGATGACTTAACTATGAAGTTGGAAATAATTATGCACAATAATTTGTCTATATTTAGATGTCACATAAAACTAATGTGTGTTGATGAGTCTAGTACTTTTCGGTCGTTTATTTTCATAAGTTAATGCCTGCAGGCGATGGGGCTGAACACTTCTTCTTCCATCTTCTCACTAGAACTCCGAGAATTGTCACTAATGATAACGATGTAATAACATTATCACCGTCAGAGCCGTGTAACTACATTCATTGATTATTCGCGGAATGTAGTGTTTGAATTAACTGCTTTTCACCCATAGAACTTTAATCTGACAATACCTAACACTGACTGCATGAAACACCTTTCTTTTGAGGCCCATAATCACGTTTATATCCTGTGACGTTTAATTTAGGCTATGATATTTAGGATATTTATTCTTCACACTGCACTCTACAAAAATAATTTAGTTGTTTGTGATTACTATTTATTCACAATCAATATTTCTCCGACATTTTTAGTGTAATCCAAGTTGTCCAGCTGCGAACTCACAATGATTCCTAATTCATATGGTTGCAAAACGTAGGTCACTAACGGTTCGACAATGGTCCTCTCGTTTATCGTAATCAGTGGTTGAATACTTTGGACGTATGCCTGAAAATCGTTTTCTACTTCTTGCGTTTTTCCATACAAAGTCTTTTATTATACAACAGGCACTGTTTCTCTTCTTAATATTCTGCAATGTCTTGAAAAAATTTAATTTCATTGTGTATACATTAGTTGTGGACTTGAACTGGTGCATGTTTGCCAGGTCATATTTTGAGCAGCGCTCGCTGATCAGACAATAGACATTTATTGAAGAACTGATAAAGTTATTGTGCGTAGAAGTAAGATTTTTAGAGAATTTCGCTAACCTTCAGTCATTTTTATTTTCGGTTAGAATTGAAGCATGCGGAATTGTTTCCACTACGTAAATGTCAGACATCTGTGAAGGTACAATCTGCATTACATCTTTTCAATGTAACTTTCAAAACGTAAGTATAGGATACTGTTATCCTATTATCAGCAATATTGTGAGGGCAGTGCAGTATAATGATTTAAATTGCACTGCTCAGTTTCCCCCGATGCTAACGCCTGTATTTTATCATCGGTTTGCAGAATATTGATTCTGAAAGCATGTAAATGGATTAGTTGCAAGCAGTCATTTACAACGTGAGTGAAGTGAATTCTTTGAGGCATGACAAAGTATATATGATGAGACAAAGTGAGCCAAGCATGTTATATGAAAGGTTAGCCTGCGCACAAACAAATAAAAAGCAACAAAGATATGAGAGAATGACTAACTCGGTTAAAAGGCTAGTAGGCTAATCGCCTTGCTTAAAAGCTGGGACGAGCCCTATGTTCTGACCATATAAGCTTTCTTACTTACTTACTTACTTTCGCCTGTTACCCCCAATGGAGCATAGGCCGCCCACCAGTTTTCTCCAACCAACTCTGTCCTGGGCTTCCCTCTCCAGTTCCGTCCAATGTTTGTTCATTCCTCTCATATCTTTCTCTATTTCTCGGCGTAGTGTATTCCTTGGCCTTCTTCTTTTCCTTTTGCCTTGAGGATTCCATGTGAGGGCTTGTCTCGTGACGCAGTTGGGTGCTTTTCGTAGTGTATGTCCTATTCACTTCCACCGCTTCTTCCTGATTTCCTCCCCCACTGGAATCTGACTTGTTCTCTCCCACAGTTCGTTGTTGCTGATGGTGTCTGGCCAACGAATACGAAGTATTTTGCGTAGACAACTGTTAATAAACACTTGTATCCTCCGGATGATGGCTTTGGTAGTTCTCCATGTTTCCGCTCCATACAGTAGAACTGTCTTGACATTTGTATTGAAAATCCTGATTTTGGTTTTGTTTGAAAGTTGTTTGGAGTTCCAGATATTTTTCAACTGTAGAAATGCAGCCGTCGCTTTGCCAATCCGCGCCCTCACATCTGCGTCCGATCCACCTGCCTCGTCGATGATGCTGCCAAGATATGTGAAGGTGTTAACGTCCTCCGAGGTATCTCCATCAAGCGTGATTCGGTTGGTGCATGTTGTGTTGCATCGGAGAATTTCGCTTTTCCCTTTATGTATGTTGAGACCTACTGCTGCAGAGGCTGCTGCTACACTCGTCGTCTTCTCTTGCATTTGTTGTTGAGTATGCGATAAAAGAGCCAGGTCATCTGCGAAGTCCAGATCGTCCAGCTGCGTCCTAACTGTCCAGTTGATACCGTTCTTCCCTCCAGATGTTGATGTCTTCATAATCCAGTCGATGACCAGGAGAAAGAGAAAGGGTGAGAGTAAGCAACCTTGCCTGACACCGGTCTTCACCTCGAAAGAGTCTGTCAGCTGACTCCCGTGCACGATTTTGCAGTTGAATCCATCATAAGAATTCCGTATGATGTTGACTATTTTCTCAGGCACACCGTAGTGTCGAAGAAGCCTCCACAGTGTTTTCCTATCCACGCTATCAAATGCTTTCTCGTAGTCGATGAAGTTGATGTAGAGTGGTGAGTTCCATTAAATTGATTGTTCCACAATGATCCGTAATGTAGCAATTTGGTCAGTACATGATCGATTCTTACGAAATCCTGTTGAAGACTTTGCCTGGTATTGAAAGAAGAGTGATACCTCCGTAGTTTTCACACTTGCTGAGATCGCCTTTCTTTGGTATTTTGATCAGGTATCCTTCTTTCCCATCTGATGGTACTTGTTCCTCATCCCAAATCTTCTTGAAGAGAATGTGAAATATTTTCGCGGTTGCTTCCACATCTGCTTTCATTGTTTCGTACAATTGTCTCAAGTTTCCTTCTCTTGCAGCCTTTTCCACCGCCATTGCTAGATCTTCCACATATTTTCGTTTGTCAGCTCTGATGCTCTTCTTCACTTCCCTTTTTGCTTCTGTATACTCGGCTTGCGCCTTAACTTTCTCTGCTCTTGTTCGGCAGACATTGATAGCTGCCTTCTTGTTCCTCCTTTCTTGAATTTTTTCAAGAGTACCAACAGAGATCCATTTCTTGTGATGGTGCTTCTTGCGACCAAGGACTTCCTGACATGTTGAAGTGATTGCCTCCTTAATCCCTTTCTAATTGTTCCCCAATGTTGCTTCCTCTCCATTGAGTAGATCCTGAAAGGCCTGGAACCTATTGGTGAGGGCTATCCTGAATTCGTTGAGCTTTACAGTATCCCGAAGAAAGGCCGTATTAAACTTCTGTGATGTTGTCTGCCCCGTTGTCCAGTGCTTCTTTAACTTCAATCTCATTTTGGCGATCAGCAAGTGGTGATCTGAAGCTATATCAGCTCCTCTCTTAATTCTCATATTCTCCATGGTCCGTCTGAACTTTTTGTTAATACAGATATGGTCAATTTGGTTTAGAGTAGTGTGATCCGGTCTAATCCATGTGGCTTTGTGAATGCGTTTGTGCGGGAATATTGTGCCACCGATGACCAGTTTGTTGAAGGCACATAGGTTTGCAAATCTCTCACCGTTTTCGTTACTTTCTCCCAGTCCATGTCGTCCCATGATGTCTTCATATCCAGTGTTGTCCATTCCAACCATGGCATTCAGGTCTCCCATAAGAATCGTCAAATCCTTTGATGAACATTTCTCGACGATTGACTGCAGCCTTTCGTAGAATTGATCTTTGTCGTCGTCATTGTAGTCGTTGGTAGGTGCATAACATTGGATGACGTTCAATGTAATGACCTCTTTCTTTGTTTTGAAGGATGCTTTAATGATCCTCGGCCCATGAGATTCCCATCCTATCAGTGCCTTTTATGCATGTTTGGACAGCATCAGTGCAACTCCTTGTGTATGTGAAGCATTTTCCTCTTCATGACCAGAGTATAACAGTAGTTCCCCTGAAGCTAGTCTCAGTTGTCCTACTTGTGTCCAATGTGTTTCACTGATTGCAAGCACCTCGAGGTTCTATCTTTTCATTTCTGCCGCAACTTGAAATATTCTTCCAGTCTCCCACAATGTACGAACGTTCCATGTACCTAAAAAAATGGTTGCTCTGGTTGTCAGAAGAGGCATCGGCCTCGTGACTTCCGAGGGGACTCGGCTTTCATCACGAGACGTCATAATTCTTCTTCCAACTCCCAGGGCAGAGTGAAAATGGTTTGAATTATTTTTTCTGGTTAGCGTTTTTTTGGCAAGTGAGATTTCAATGGAATGGGGCCGCCAACCCCATGTCCAACCCTCCTCCTTTATCCAGGCTTGGGACCAGCAGTAGCCCCTAAGGTTCTACTGGCGGAGGTATATAAGCTTTCATTACAGGTTTATCAAATTTTTATATCTTCCGTTTATGATTCTCACAAACGTTTTGCTCCCTTACTTACTTAATAATAATAATAATATATTTATTCTCAAATAACTACGTTACAAGTGTCACGTCAGTTTACAGACTAGATCAAATTGTCACAAATGCTTTCACAATTACTGTAAAGTTATAGCAGGTAAATTAAGTATAAGAGTCATTTTCTGATTGCATATTTACACCATGTCACTGACAGTAACAGTATTATACAGCCACATTTTCAATAGTAGAGTACAAATAAGGAAGTAAGGTGCATAATAGGTTCTTCTGGTGGTTTGCCGAGACCAATAGTGAATTTGTTGGAGAAGGTCAATTGGAACGTACTTGATACGAGCTGTGATCCAGATAGTCATTTACATAGGGTGCATGTTCCCTAGAGTCGTCAAGGATTTCCCACCGTGAATGGGGTTCTGAAAAGGAGAAAAGAGAGAGAGAACAAGGCAGCAGTATGGCAAGTGTATATATATAACCATAGCACTACCTAACCTGTCATGTTGAAGTAGTCAATACAGTAGTAAGTCAAGATAAAATTCAAACTGACCACTTAAATTAAAGTAGGTTATGGCAATATAAGAATATAACACACAGATAAAGGAGTACAGCAAAAAGAAGGAAGAGTTGTGCAGTGTCAGGTGGAAAGAAGAGAAGTCGAAGTAAGAAGCTAGATTTGTGTACGTTGAAATCGAAATTCTAGTTGAAAGAGTAGATTTTGTAAAAATAAAACTTTGATGAACAACATCTCGCACTGTCGAACTGTTTTTTTTATTATTATTGAAAGAAATAGTAAGAATTTTCAAACAAGATATAAGCATTTAGAATGTAGTGGGGAAGATGTACTTAACTAGCTAAGCAGGAGATATAAAGAGTATCACGGTTAAAAGTTTAGCAAAAGATAACACCAAGTGGCCAAGGTAAGTCAATAGCGTGTAAGTGAGAACAGTATAATTGATAATAGGCAATGTGAAACTCACACAGCTGTAAGTGTTGATAAGGTTGCGCCCAGGAGAGTAGAGAGCATTCTCTTCAACCAGTTTACAGTTGAACAATGTCAATCGACCCAGTGAATAGAGTAACCTGTCTATTTCAAATAAAAACTAAAGAGATTTATATTCAACTAGAAAAATTAGTGCTACTTGGGAGTGTAAAAATAACTAAATAAGACGCAGCACTGAGTTCATTGTGTTTAAAGTGTATGCAGAGATAATAATA